TAGCTGTCCTGGTCTCTCTGGCCTCAGCTTTCCTGCATTTTACCCTTCTCTGCCTCACCAGAAGCTGGGAGCCCTGAGTCTCCACTGTAGAAGAAATGCTCAGTGGCAAAAGGGTGAAGGCAGAGGTTCACATGACTGGACCAGGAAGCAGGAAATCCACATTCTACCTGGGCCCTGCTCCAGACATGCTGAGTAGCCCCATGCCAGTCACCTGCCCTCTCTGTGCCTCAGTTTCCTCATCTTTCAATGAGGAGTCAGACAAGGCCTTTCTGATTCTGGCATCCTTTGTTGTCAGAGGGGATGCAGCTTCAGAGCTGGAAGCAGGGTGTGGACGCTGATTATCTTTCCTAGGGGCTTCTGTGGGGAAGGCATTTTCTTGCAGGATCATACCTCAGATGCCCACGGGAACCTTTGCCGAGACAGCCCCCACAGATCGATAGCTTGATTGGATGAAGGAGGGTGTGGGGCTGGGGGCGATGCAGCCAAGGTGACGGTCATTTTTCATGGCGCTCCTGTCCCTCTGTCAGGTCTCATGGCACCCATGCGAGATACCGCCTGTTAAGGATGAGAAATGAGAGTCCCCACCCCCAAAGAAGAATTTTCCTGCCAATGCCTGACACCTGATACTGAAAGCTTGAGGCTACTATTACCTAATAGGTCAGTGTAGAGCAAGACTCATACCAGGGGAAGATGTCCGGTAGGCAAAGCCTGATTTTATTAGAACAATAACAGCTACTGTTTATTGAGTACTCCTATGTGAAGGCCTGCTACTAAGCACTTTAAATGTATTATATATCTTTTAATCTTCATAACCTCTTGAGAGTAGGTGTTACTGTTGTCCCATTTTACAGATGAGGAATCTGAAGCTCCGTTTCATAGATTTTAAGTGGCAAAGTCAGGATTTGAACCCAGATCAGCAAGGCTCACTCTTCTACTCCACACTGACAGGTAGCTGAAGATTAGCTGTTTAAGCTCCAAATATTTGTGGGGTGTGTGTTTGTTTGTTTTGCAGTTGACTGATTTGGACAGATACTTTTCTAAACTAGGACGTATTTGATTGCTTATGGAAACAAGGAGTTGGGAAGTCACTTATTCTCTCTTGAAGCCTCCAGGTTATCATCTAGATGTCAGTGGCCGGCCTGGTGTGGATGCAGATGAGTGTGGGTGTGGGTTGAGGGTTGATACAGTGAGTGCTTTAGCCTTTAGAATCTTGGCAGCTGTGCGTCTTCTCGCCGGTTTGTGCTGTCAGCTACCACATCTTACACCTGGCAGTGTTCCTGCTCCCCTGCCTCCCCCGGCCCCTTCTGAATAGCTGTGCACTGGGCAACCAGACAACTAAGTTCATTAGATTTATGTGCAGACTACAAGGAAAGAGGCTCTGAAATCAAGCCCTTTCTGGAACAGAGTACATGGCCTTTATAACCCTATATTATTGCTACTCCAGGCCTTTTTCAGTTCCTTTGGGGCCTCCCCAGCTGAATTTTACATAGTTCTGCCAGTTTAGGGGAGATGATATTGGCTTTAGCTTCAGACATATTGAAATTGAGGTGCCATTGGGCCAGTCCCGTGGAGATGGGTAAAATCAGTTAGAGCTGTGCTGGCCAGTCCTTTAGCCACCACCCACATGTGGCTCCTGAGCACTTGAAATGTGGCTACTCTGACTTGTGATGTGCTGTAAGTGTAAAATATACATTAGATTTTGAGGACTTAGTACAAAAAAGAATGTCCAATGTCTCACTAGTGAATTTTGTATGTTGATTACATGTTGGTCCAAACGTAATTCATTCATTACATGCTGATATACGAAAAGATATTATACTGAGTTGAAAGAATGCATCATTAAAATTAAATCTGTTTCCTTTTTACTTTTTAATATGGCTAGGAGAAAATTTAAAATTACTTATGTACTGATAAATGTGGCTCACATATTTCTGTCAGACAACTAGGGTTGGATGCTGTGAGGGTTTAACTGGGAGTCAGATGCGTGGGGAGGAGAGGAGTTTGCTGACAGACCTCCAGGCCCTCTGCTCCATCTTACTCCTTTCACACGCCAGGCTGGCCTTTTGAGGCTGCACTGGGTCAAACCCAGGTCTATTGTGGGATAGGACTGGGAGATGAGACTGGGCTGAAGAGGAGACTGTACATCCTAATCCATGGGCACTGGGGAGCCGGGCAGTGCTTTTGAATCAGAGACGTCAGGATGGAGTTGCAGTCCTGGGACTCTGCATTCCTCACTGCCTGCAGTGGTGTGGAAGCGAGGCCTGGCTTGGGGCAGGAGAGATGCTGAGCTTGGAGTGGGCAGCTACTCCCTTGAGCCTTCCACTTGTCCAGGTCCCTCCCATCTTGCAAAATTTAGCTGCAAGTTCACCTTCTCCGGAGGTCTTCTCCAGCCGTGGCAACTCTCGCTTCTCTAACTCCTGTTGCATGTATGGTTTGTACCACATCTTTTATTCTGCCACGGTCGGTAGATTCTCGACATCCACAAGGGGAGAGACCTTTTGCAAGTATCCGTGTTGAAAAATACTATATAATTTCTCCCATGAGATTTGGATGCCCGTGGAATTTGGATGCAGGGCAGTTAGCTTGACACCAGTCTGGAAGCATGTAGAACTCAGAGGGGACCCTCAGAAGAATCGTACATCGCTGTCACACACCTTTGCTGCATCATTCTTGAGGGAATGAGATGATGGCTATTCAGTCATAATATTCCAGGGTCTGCAGCGCTGTCCTCCAGTTGCTGTTAGTCTGGTCTCCCTAACTCAACTGTGAGTGCTCAGCAGAGGTATTCTTCTCTTCTTGACCCTGGAAGGCCCTGCCGTCTACAGTGCTGTGCATGTGGATAGTAGGGATCCAATGAATTAACTGTAGAATGAAGGTAAGCTGCATGAGGATAGCTGGGATGGCGACTGTGGAGGTCAGCATCGTCTCGTGGGTACCTGGCACATGGAAAGCGTTTACTCTGTCGTTGTTGAATAGAGGAGTGCAATGATTAGACACCCTTATCTGAGGCGTACAAGATGTCAGTCACTTGGGTTTTGTTAGCTGGACTGTGTATAGAACAAAGGTCTATTCACTTTGTTTACAGAATGAATCTTTAGTGGAAGGGCAAGGGATTTTAAAGATGTTGGTGGACGGCATAAACTTAAGACAGAACGTAGCAGATTGTGTTCCTGTGGGTTGGGAAAGCATCTTCAGTGTTCTCTCAAAAATGGTAATCAGGAGACTCTGAATGGGAATAAAGGTAACTGTACTTTTTGTCGCCTTTTCTCTATTTTCATCCTTTAGATTCACCAAAACCACCAGTTGCTCCCAAGCCAAAGACTGCCAGTCCCCTCACAGCGGTGATGGCACCTAAATTTCCTTCGTCACCCTGGCCTGATAGTCTTCCTAGTCCCAACTCCATGTCTAGGGGACCGAAACTCCCCATCGCCCCTAAGCCCGGGCTGACCAGCCCCAACGAGTGGAGAGCCAGCGTGTGCATGACCAACAGCTTGAACAAATGCAGCAGTGGGAAGCTGCTCCACGTAGATGGGGCTTTATGAAGAGCACCGGTCCAACCTGGAGCGTTTGGAGTCTGAGGCGGACAAGGATTACATCGTGGTCCCCAGGGCTCCACCGAGAGAGGGCAAACCCAGGAATGGGGACCCCGTGGAGAATGCAGTCATGGTGCCTCTGGATGCCACTGGGGAAGAGGCCTGCCAGGAGGGAGGCGAGGAGTGTGACACAGAGAGGACGGGAGTGGCTGAGGACTTGGAGTGGAGCGGGTGACAAAGGCGTAGCCCCCACTCCTGAGAACGTGGAGGAGGAGGACTGTGCCCGTGACGCAGCGGCGGAGGAGCAGTTCACAATTGAAGAGGAAGGGAAGCTGGTGGAGGAACACATGTTCAGCCTGGAGGACAAGGGCCCTCGGGATGGAGAGGCAGTCTTTCTGAGTGATATCATCCTAACTCATGTCAGTTTAGAGGATCCAGCAGCTCCTGAGGAGGAGCCTGGGCCCCCTGGGACACCCAGGGAGGCAGAGGAGAATGGCGAGGAAGGCTGTGCCAGTGCAGAACCCGGGGCGCCAGATGCGCGTGTAGATGCCAGCAGGCCCGCCGAGGGGGACACTGAAGATGCCAGCGAGGATCCACCGGAGAATGAGGGATTGGCCCCGGGCATCTGGGAGGTGGAGATGGCCACAGACAGCCCTGAAATTTCTGAGGAGTGTGAGGACGCCACAGGCGGTGGTGACCAGAATGATCAGGATGAGCCACCTGAGCAAAATGAGGACGCTGACCAGGAAGAAGTGGCAGCAGTCACCCAGGAGGCGGGAGAAGACCCTCCAGAGAGCGAAGACCCCGTGCAGGACGAACCTGCTGAGGAGAGCTGCCAGATCATTCCTTTCGGGAGTGACTGTACGGAGGACTTCGTGGCCTCACTCTCTACGAGTCCCTACGAGTTCTTCCCGACCGAGAGCACCTCCTTCTGTAGCGAAAGCTACTCTCCTTTTTCCAAATCAGCAAGAGGCTTAGAGTCAGAGCAGGAAGCACAGTCGAGAGGACCTGTGGAGCAGGACCCTGTGGCTGGAACTTCATGTGGCCAGCGTGGCTCCCTGCAGGGTGGCGCTGGGGAGGGCCCTGCTGTTCCTGATGCGGTCGTGCCAGAGGATGAGGATGCTGTGGATGACGCGCTCACCAACCCCTATGAGATGGGAGTTGGCCTGGCATGTGGGGCTGACCCTGCAGAGGGAGGGGGACCTGAGACATGGGCTGCATCAGATGTCCTGGGTGGTTCTGGCGTGATAGAAGAAATGGACTCTGATGCTGAGGGTGGCCTGGTCCCCGTCGACAGAAAGAACGTCCTCATGAGGGCCAGGCCCCACTCTGGGAAGGTGGCTGGTTGTGTTTCAGAAACTGACCTGGAAGAAACTGGACCAGAAGCTGACTTGTCAGCTGTTGGCATTGGAGGTGCCAAGGAGGTGAGAAAGATGGTTCTGTCATTGGAGGGGAAGCCGCTGGAAGCCAGCAGGGCCTTGCCAGCAAAGCCCAGAGCCTTCACTTTATAGCCTCGATCGTCCTCGTGGAAGGCTGAGAGAGGCCAGTCCCCTTGTACCGGGAGCTGGAGGCATCTGGCTTAGATGACCATAGGATCAAAAGGAAAGATGACAACCTTTCTCTGCTGTGTATGATTGGCTCCTCTGGGAGTTTCTCCCAGAGGAACCGCCTTCTATCCAGTGGCACCTCGACACCGTCTTCCATGGTCGACATCCCACCCCCTTTTGACCTGGCCTGTGTCACCAAAAAGCCCATCACAAAGAGCTCTCCCTCGCTCCTGATCGAGAGCGAGCCCCCAGACCAGCACACCAAGAAGAAGTCTTCCTTTAAGCGGTTCCTGGCGCTGATGTTTAAGAAGAAGAGCGAGAGCAAAGTGCACGTGGATGTTGGTGTGTCTTCCAGGTCCTCCTCCGAGTCCGGCCACCAAGGGCCTTCCAGGCTGCTGGAGGTTGACCACAGGAGCCTCAGCAGCTCCCCTCAGCTTAAGGCTCGGACTGGCAAGCTCTGGGCTCCCGAGTCACCCTCCTCCATCTTGTTCGGGGATGGCAAGAGGAAGGGCATCCCCTTCAGCAGGACAGAGTCCAGAGTGGAGTCCTTCGAAGACTCCTCCCGGCCCCCCTTTCTGCCCTCGCCCCTGACCAAGCCAGGGTCCATCTCGTTTCCCAACGCTGACACTTCGGACTACGAGAACATTCGAGTCATCAATTCGGACTACGAAAATATCCAGATTCCACCCTGGAGGTCAGCAAGGGCCGGGGCCTTGGCTAAGCTCTTTGAAGATCAGAGCAGAGCCCTGTCCACAGCAAACGAAAACGACGGCTACGTGGACGTGAGCAGCTTCAGCGCCTTCGAGAGCAAGCAGCAGAGCGCAGAGCAGGAAGCAGAAAGGTACCGTAAAATTATGTTTTCTTTGTTCGGCGAGTGTGACTATCCAAGAGGCAAGCTTAGGTGTAGGGGACAGAATGGATTTGCCTTTTTAGCCTCAAGCTCTGTTTCTTTCTAATGTGTGACTTGGGGTGAGCGGCTTTACCTCTCTGAGCCTCAGTTACTGTGTCTGTGAAATGGGATTCATGCTACCTCCTGGCAGAGTTTGAGAAGATCAGAGTAATCTATGTGCAAAGTGTTGTCTAAAACGCCAGTTACAGTACAAATGTATGTATTTGTATTTTCATTATTCAGGAGACATTTCTCATCTCCTAGGTAGATGGCTTTGCTACTCCCCTCTGGGGAAGTCACTGATGGTGCTCAGGGCAAGCTACCCGAGGAGGCACCACTCTGGTATGTGGATTATTTTGAGCTGAAGACAATAAGGACTCAGAGAACTCAGGAAAAATATTTGAGTTTCCCCTCCCAAACTGCCTAAAGAATTTAAAACAAAAGATCTGTTTCAAGAAAGAGTTGTTATCATGATGGCTGTAAAGCTAATGTAGGATAGAGGTTACAATAGGAAAGGCACCAAGCCTCTTTTATCAAAATCTCTGTCTCTCCCTGACCACATTATCTATAGATGACCCTGAAAAGAATTGTCTTCCTGGCCTCTGAAGTCCCAGAGCACTACCCACCCCCAACACGCTCCTCGCCTTTAGCTGCAATACTTAAGCAAGCAG